GTGTGTGTCTGTGGGGGGCATGTTATGTGTCGTGTGTGTGTCTGTGGGGGGCATGTTATGTGTCGTGTGTGTGTCTGTGGGGGGCACGGTGTGTCGTGTGTGTGTCTGTGGGGGGCACGGTGTGTCCTGTGTGTGTCTGTGTGGGGGCACGGTGTGTCCTGTGTGTGTCCGTGTGGGGCATGTTATGTGTCCTGTGTGTGTCTGGGGGGGGCACGGTGTGTCGTGTGTGTGTCTGTGGGGGGCATGTTAGTATGTTAGTGCAGTCACCCATGGAGGTTAGAAGAGGGCTGCTGACTAGTACTGGAGTCACAGGTGGTTGTATATGAGTATGTTTACATATGAACAAGCACACACATACATTAAAACAAATATGTTTAAAGAATAAAATACTATGCCCATGATTTTCCCGCAGATTCATAGACAGGGCACATAGAAATCATTTTCCTTAACAGACTTTTGACACCTTGTAAGTCATGGGGTGTCTGCAACCCCCAAGTTCACTTGCTAAGTAGTAACTGAAGTAATAGTGCCTATCTCAGTGGGTCGCTGGACGAATTAATGGAGAAAATGAAGGTGTGCACCCCACACATGAGTGGTCTTGGGGAACCTGGTGAAATGATCTGGCTTCTTCGTCCCACCTTGAAATAAAAATAATGCCATGGTGAATTCTTAGGCATTGGATAATCAGAATAAAAGTTTTATGATTATTTTATTTAAAGCCATGGACCCACACAACCAAATTGGCCCGTCTTCTTCCCCATGCCTTCATGGGCGTTGGGGTTGGAGTTAGAGGTAGCAGTGTGCCTCACGCCGTAATTCTAGATAGTCCTCCTGCCTAGAGACAATGCTGACTCAATCCACAACCTCACTTGAGTGGTCTCCACCCGGAGACGGTTTTCCCTTTCATGCCACTGTGGAGGTGCTTCCGTCTTTTCTCCAGGTGGTGTGTGTGCTGCCTGACAACAGCAAGCAAAGATACGAGGAGATAAAAACGTTTCTGTGCGTTGAGAAGCCAGTCCCCAGCCAGTGTGTTGTAGCATCGACCCTGAATAATGAAAGGAATCTCACTACTATAGTCACCAAGATTGCTCAGCAGATGAACTGCAAGATGGGAGGTGCCCTCTGGAAGGTGGACACAGGGGTATGTAGGGTTCTGTCTCTGGAAGATGGGCACAGGCGTATGCAGGGTCCTTCCTCTGGAAGGTGGGCACAGGTGTATGCAGGGTCCTGTCTCTGGAAGGTGGGCACAGGTGTATGCAGGGTCCTGTCTCTGGAAGGTGGGCACAGGTGTATGCAGGGTCCTGTCTCTGGAAGGTGGGCACGGGCGTGTGCAGGGTCCTGTCTCTGGAAGGTGGACATGGGCATATGCAGGGTCCTGTCTCTAGAAGGTGGACATGGGCGTGTACAGGGTCCTATCTCTGGAAGGTGGGCATGGGCGTGTGTAGGGTCCTGTCTCTGGAAGGTGGACATGAGTGTATGTGGGGTTTTGTCTCCTGAGTTAACATATTTGTAGTGAAACTCAAGTGTGTACCCTTTCATTTAGTTTTAGCTTTTTCTTATTTTGTTCTAACCCAACTTACTATCTCTTGTACAAAAACTAAAAATCAAGATGGAGAAGACGATGTTCATTGGAATTGATTGTTTCCATGATACTGTGAACCGGCAGAAGTCAGTCGCAGCATTCGTGGCCAGCACCAAGGAAGACTTAACCATGTGAGTGAGCCCCAGAGGCAGACTCTGTGCTAGCAGCCTCCAGAAGCGTATGGAAGGAGGAACGGGCTCCTCTCTCTAGACCTTCTTAACACTGCAACCCTCTAATGCAGTTCCTTGTGTTGTAGTGACCCCCAACCATAAAATTATTTTCATTGCTATTTCATAACTGCAGTTTTGCTTGATATCATAATGTAAATATCTGAGATGCAGGATGTGGGATATGTGGTCCCTGTGAAAGGGCTGTCTGCCCCCTCATGGTATCATGACCCCAGGCTGGAAACCACTGCTCTAGCCAGACTGACCTTCCCAGCTCGCCCTCTGGATGGTGTAACTGGAGACTGCACTCATGTTTCCTGGCAGCCTGAACCCAAATAATCACACAGAAACCATATTAGTTACCACACTGTTTGGCCAATGGCTCAGGCATGTTCCTAGCTATTTCTTATATATTTTTTTTTCTGTTTTTTTTTTTGAGACGGGGTTTCTCTGTAGCTTTGGAGCCTGTCCTGGAACTAGCTCCTGTAGACCAGGCTGGCCTCGAACTCAGAGATCCACCTGCCTCAGCTGAGATTAAAGGTGTGTGCCACCACTGCCTTAGTTCTTATATCTTAAATTAACCCATTTCTATTAATCTGTGTATCACCACGAGGCTGTGGCCTACCAGTGAGGTTCTGGAGTCTTTCTCCTTTGACAACTATATGGCATCTGCCTGACTCCGCCTTCTTTCTCCCAGCATTCAGTTTAGTTTTCCCACCTAGCTCTATTCTGCCCTGCCATAGACCAAAGTGGCTTCTTTATTAACCAATGGCAATAAGACATATTCATAGCATACAGAGGCAAATACCACTTCATCTCCCCTTTGCTGTCTAAATAAAAAGGAAGGTTTTAACTTTAACATAGTAAAATTACACAAAACAGGTATCAAGAAAGAATTACAGTTACAATATTTCTTTGAGTCTAAAGCTTCATATCTAATTTGTTTTCATAACTAAGGAACACTATAATTATAATCTAGTTTTCATCTCCATCAAAGACCTCAGAAGAATATAATATTGTCCACTTAAACAGAAAGTGCATTGTAAGCAACTTCCAAAACTCTAGAATTGACAGAGACATTTTGCTTCCTGACAGTCATCCAGAGTTCTATAATGTTGGGGCATCCATCTTCAGCCTATAGGCCCATGATATCTGGCAGACTTTTCCATGAAGCAGAAAATTTGAAAGAATGTTTTGCCTATATTGGCAGTTTGTCAGTCACTTTCTTCTGTGTCCTGCGGAATGTCTGGCAGACTCTCATGAAGCAGGAACCCTGAAGGACTGTCCCACCTTCTTTAGGGAACTTCTTCAGCTGTCACTTTTCTGTGCATCTTGCATGTCCAGTTCATATAGCATATGATCAAGCAGTCTAGCCAAGAGCAATTTCTTGCCCAAATGGCTAGCTGAAGCCCAAATGTCACACTGAAGGCAAATTCCATGAGTTTCTTCAATGCCCATCAACTTCTGTGAAGCAATTGGTGCTTCCCGAAGCAGGCATGACTTACTGTCAAGAAAAGTCTCAGTTCTATAAAATCATTTAAATGCCACATTCTGTAGGTCTTTGAAGTGTTGAAGATTACTAATATACTGAAATATATCTCTATTTCTAGAAAACCTAACATAATTAAAAGTTTATTATAGATGACTATCCATTAATCTGTTAACTATATATCACATTTTTTAAATGAGCTGCAAACACAATACTTTAAACAGGAGCAGAAATACATATACACAGTGTAACAAAATTGACCTTAAATATGTATCAGTAGACCAAGATTCATACTAATGCAAAGTATTCATTTCTATATCACATCCCCCTCTAAATGAAAATGTTTATGAGCAATCATTCTGGGAATTTGGGCATAGCTTTCTCCAAACTCCTTCCTGTTATTTGTTGGGCAAAGTATTTTTAGGGTTCATGGAGACCTTTTGGGGGTCTTGCCCCATCAGACCACATTAGCCTGGAAGGAATCCACAAGTTTCCATCCTCTGATAAAACAAAAGCAGAACATCTCTTCTAAAGTAACATATCCTTAGACCCCAATTTGGATGTGCATATGCTGTTTTAACTTAGCAGCCTGTACAACGAAATGTCTCTCTGTAGTTAGCTCATTCACAGTCACAAAATTCAAAGAAAATATAATAATATACATAATCCACACTCTTTGCATATTTTCCATCTCTACTTGGCTTTTTTTTAAACCTTATTTTATTATCTTTATTCCTCTAATCTTTGACTGTACTCTTTCTTCTCTCTCTCTTAAGGCCATATACATTATCCAACAATGTGACCCATTTAGAGGTCTTTTGATTTGTTTTGTCTGCATCTGTCTTTACTGAGTATCTGGAATCCTTTTCTGACCAGGAGTGCTTCTAAGAATGCTAAGCAGAGTGGCTAGGACTAATGCTGCAACTTTGCTTGTTGGCTCTGCCCAGTCCAACTTGGAGGTGGTATGTTCACCGCCAGCTCTGGGACCACCAGGTGGGAGCTGTGCTCACCACTCAGTTCTGGGAAGCAGTTGGCCCATGCTGCTATCAAGCAACTTGCAGCATTCTGCCCACAATCTATATTCAAGTGCTCCATAGCAGGACCTCCCCAAAGAGCCAGAGCCATTTGTGCCACCAGCACAAACCAGGAAGCTGTCTCTTAAAGGAACCACATAGTTTTTGCTGCTAATGCTGAATCAGAAGCCTTTTCTTAAAGGAGCCATGCCTCTGCTCACGACCAGAAAAGTCTATCTGAAAATGTGTGGCTGCCAAGGAGCCCCAATTGACTCCCCATTTTTTGTGAGTCTAGAAGCCCTCTTTTTTTTTTAAGGTCTTATGTGGATCCATGCCAGACGGTGGGTACCATTTGTAAATGGGAGACTGTGGTTGGTCTCCCAGCTCTCCAGACCCAAATCCACAGAAACTATATTAATCACAACACTGACCAACAGCTCAGGCGTGTTCCTAGCTAGTGCTTTTATATTAAATTAACCTGTTTCTATTAATCTGTGTATCACCATGAGGCTGTGTCCTACTGCTAAGGTTCCAGCAGCTTTCTCCTTCAGTAGCTATATGGCATCTGCCTGACTCCGCCTTCTTTCTCCCTGCATTCAGTTTAGTTTTCCCGCCTAGCTCTATTCTGCCCTGTCATAGGTCAAATTAACTTCTTTATTAACCAGTGAAAATAACACATTCACAGCACACAGAGGGAATCCCTTATCAGGAAGGATCCCTTTATTTTCTTTACTATCCACCAGAAACACTAGGAGCTGTGCCAGGTCTGTTGGCATAGCCCTGTAGACCCATACACAGGTGACCAAAGCGGGAAGGTAGACAGTCCAAGACCAGCTTTAGCCATGTGACATGATCATTGCTTCAAACAATAAAACCTGTCAACTGAGAGCGGGATCTCCTGCTGTCTGTTTAGGAGTGGGAAGTTGGCACCCCCATGGCTGGTGCCATGCGCTATAGTTCTTGATTTCAAACCAATAATGTTCTTTTGTTCTGAGGTATCTTTGGAATCAGAAAATAATGTGCTATGGGGGGGTAGTTGTTGATGTGTTTAGTGGATGTGCTCATATATGTGTGTGCATGCGTGCTCATGAATGTCGAGGTTGGATGTTGACAGTCTTCTTCCATTACTCTTCATGTTATTTTTAAAGCAGTGTCTCTCATTAACCCTGGAGCTCATTGACTGGGTTGGCTGGTCGGTGAACTCCAGGAACCATCCTGTCTCCACTGCCCCAGCACTTGGATTATAAGCAGGTTTTATCATGCCTGGCTTCTTATGTGGGTACTAGGGACCTGAACTCAGTTCCTTGCCCTTTCATGGCAAGCACTTGACCAACTATACTATCTCATCAGCCCCAGAATGGGTGTTTCTGAGCTTGTCCTATGTCCAGATTTAGGGAATATGGCAGTAAAAATGTCAAACCAGAAATGTCGATTCTGTCCTGAGGTACTAATTACCCATCAAGTGACTGATAAGAAACAAATCTATCGTGTGACACCCCAGGGCCAGATGTGTTTACTCCCAGGAAGGGAATAGAAGCAAAGCCATGGATGACTTGATGGCTACGGAAGTTGTTACAGCGGCTGTGGGTATTGAGAGACAAGCTGCTCTGTCCTACGGCACAGTTAATGTTTTCAAGCTGTGTGTGTGTTCAACTCCCGCCCACCAAATGGCCCGACAGCATGCAAGATCCTTCACTGAATCTTGTTTCTGATGGTGATATTGACTGGGGAAGAGGTGGTTGTGAATTAATTCAGAATCCAAGTGGCAAAATAAGGTTTCTGATTGGTCAACTTCTCTGTAAACAGGTGGCACTCCCAGTGTCTCTTTCAGGATACAGCAGAGGAGATTGTCAATGATCTGCAGAGCTGTCTGCAAGGTTAGTGCCTGAGGAGGCTGGTGAACTTAACTCCCTGCCAGCATTCTCGACAATTGGGCATGCTGTCCCCACAGGTCACTGGTTATGATTGAAAATGTTTCCATGTGTGTGCATGCATGTGCATATGAAGGCATGCATGCAAAGGCATGCATATATACAATGAAGGCCAGAAGACAATCTTGGCTGTCATTCTTTAGGCACCATCCACTTGGCTTTTGGGGGACGGTCGGTTACTGACCTGGAGCTCATGGTTAGGGTAGGCTGGCTGGCCAGGGAGCTCCAGGGCTCTGTCCTTCTCCACCTGCCCAGCTCTAGGATTTACAAAGACACCCCATCATGTCTGACAGTTTTACATGGGTTCTGGGGACCAAACTCATATCATTACTGACTGAGCTGTCTCCCTAGCCTGTGTGTATCGTTGGTGGGGAGATGGTAGGGTAAGGATGGGGACAGGGACGTCTGTCCACCTAGCAGTGACTACAGTGGACTCAGGCCAGTGACACTGGCCATCAGCTCACCGGGCAGAGTCTCTCTGCCTTATACTTGTCTATCTCGGGACTTCAGGGAGATAAATGTTAAGAAACCTTGGGCTATCCTGAGATTGTAGATAGTGAAACTGCAGGAAGCTAAGGCTCTTAGAAGATCAATCTAGAAGGTGTTAGAGTAACAGAAAGCTGGCCCTCCTGGTTGCAGTGTGTTCATGTACCTTCTCCCACTCCCATTCAGCTGCCCTGAATTCCTGGGTCGCAAACGAAAAGCAGAAACCCCAGAGCGTGGTGGTATATCGGGATGGAGTTGGGGATGGCCAGCTACAGGCCCTGCTGGAAAAGGAGGTTAGGCAGTTCCGGAAGTTCTTCACTTCTAGGTGGGTGTGAACCCCGTGAGTAGATCGGGCATACTTTGGATTTGGAGGAAAATCTGTTCTGCAACCAACACAGTGAAAGGAACTTGGTACAATGTGGGTTTAGTGCAGAAAACAAATGCCCCTCATGCTTTTTGTCTTTTCTCATGGAGCCAGAAGATTGTTTGTCCCCTCCATAGATTTCCCTCCTGTTGCCTTTCATGTTGTGCTCATCTGCCATCGTCTCCTCCTTCATCACTACCCTCTTCCCTTCTCATTCTTTTCCCTTTTCCACCTTGCTTCCTCTCCTCCTCCCTCTCCTCCTCCATTTTCTCCTCTATTTCCTCCTTTCTCTCCTCCTTCCTCCCTCTCCTCTTCTTCCCTCTCCTTCTTCCTCTCTATCCTTCCTTCTCCCTTCCTTCTCCCTTCCTTCCTTCCTTCCTTCCTTCCTTCCTTCCTTCCTTCCTTCCTTCCTTCCTTCCTTCCTCCCTTTTCCCCTCTACTTCACCTTGGTCTTTCTCTTGTTTTTCCTTTTCCTCTTGCAGTACTGGGCACAAGAGCCTCATACCCAAACTTTTGATCCTCCTGCCTTGGTCCCCCTAGTGGGTAGGAGCCCGGGCCTGCACCACCATGCCGGTTTCCATTCCAGGATTGGTGTGGGAACACTCACTCCTTTTAGAGATTATGGCTGTCCATGCATAGGCATTTCCCTCCTCTGATCTAGACAGCCTGCTCTGCTGTGTTCTCTGTCCTCATCCGAGAGGTCTGTTGCCCAGGACAGCTGCAAAATGCCCCTGAGGTTGTGTGGAAGGAACCTTTCCCCTCTGTGGGGGACTGTGAGTGGATGCTGCTGCCTGAGTGGGAGCCCCACTGTGTGGGGGAGGGGATCCCACAGCCTTGAGCTCCCTCTGATTTGGCCTCATCTATGACGTTCCCCACAGAATGACCCTTGTCCTCTTTTTTAAAGCATCAAGCTAACATTCATCGTGGTGAAGAAACGGATCAACACCAGGTTTTTTGTTGAAAATGGAGATAAAGTTACGAATCCGCCTTCAGGGACTGTTGTTGACCAAGTAGTGACCAGGAAAGAGTGGTAAGCCAGCTCTCCACTGACTTCAGCAGACTCAATTCTTCACAATTCTTCACTTAGTAGCTGCCCTTACTTTGCCCCCTGCTCCTCCACTCCCTGCCCCTTGCTCCCCTCCCCCCCCCCCCCCCGCTGATTTCTGATGTATCTGAACAAGCAGTGTTACTATTGCTTTGACAAAACACCAGGACCAAAAAGCAAGCTGGGGAGGAAAGGGTTTATCTGGTTTACATTTCCACATTGCTGTTCCATCACCAAAGGAAGTCAGGACAGGAAGGGCAGGAACCTGAGGGCAGCAGCTGATGCAGAGGCCATGGAGGGGAAACTGCTTACTGCTTCCTCTTCATGGCTCGCTCAAGTTATTTTCTTATAGAACCCAGGACCACCAGCCCAGGGGTGGCACCTACCACAATGGGCTGGGCCCTCCCCATCAATCACCAATTAAGAAATAGCCCTATAGGGGCTGGAGAGATGGCTCAGTGGTTAAGAGCATTGCCTGCTCTTCCAAAGGTCCTGAGTTCAATTCCCTGCAACCACATGGTGGCTCACAACCATCTGTAATGAGGTCTGGTGCCCTCTTCTGGCCTGCAGACATACACAAGACAGAATATTGTATACATAATAAATAAATAAATAAATAAATAAATAAATAAATAAATAAATAAATATTTAAAAAAAAAAGAAATAGCCCTATAGGCTTGCCCACAGCCTAATCTTATGGAGGCATTTTCTCGGTTGAGGTGCCCTCCTGATGACTCCAGCTTAAGCAGTCTTTACCGGGGGATTCTTTGAGAAATCATGTTTGGTCTTGGGGTCACTTGAGTTTCTTAATCCAATTTTTGTGTCTATTACCAAATAGTGGTTAGTTTTTATGTGACCCTCGAGCCATTTTAATTATTAATCTAGAAGCAACAGTTGTGCATGTATGGACAGTTTGAAATCATGGATAAATGTGATATGGAGGGCCAGTCAGATGAGATGGCTCCATGGGTAAAGTCACTTAGTCACCAAGCCTGATGAGTTTGGTCCCGGGATCCGTGTGGTAGGAAAGCATTACTTTCTGTAGCAGCTCTGTGTCTGCCATTTGGAGTTTGAGCACATTCTGAATAATCTTAGGGAACGGTGAGAATCTTGGTCTCCACATCCACATCAAATTATAGGTGAGATGTGTTTCAAAAGACACATGACCATTTGAAATGTGCTGGCTTTGAGGCATCAGCAGGTGGTGTGTGTGTTGTGTCTGTATCTGTATGTGTCTCTCTGGGGGCAGGAGCGGATGCCGAGATCACGGAGTGCTGCTTACTGGCTTGCCCGCACACTAATTTGGTGGGGAACTTTTCTCCATCGATATCCTCTCTTCCTGAACGGTTAGATTGTGTCTTCCTCATCACTCTCCCACTCGACTGTTGGCCACAGGGTCTCTCAGTGCACTTGGCTGGCCAGAAAGCCCCAGGGATCCTCCTGTCTCCATCTCCTCAGTGCTGGGGTTCAGACGTGTCCTCTGACGCATGCCCAGCTTTTGTTTTGTGTTCTTCCAATGTGTGTGCTGTGGACCTGCACTCAGTCCTAACCCTAAGACATTTTCTTATCAGCTGTAACCCCATGGGCATTACTGTGTCAACAGCTTGCCCATTCCTCTTCATGAATTTTCTTCATCAAATTGTGTTTCACCAGATACACGGATTTCTAAGCTTAAAGGCATAAGTGGACTCCCATAGTTTAGAAGCTGAACGCTTTAGCTTCTGATTCAAACTTTTCCTTTACTTCTAAAGTAAGCTGATGTCCGTCCGTGCCCTCTGCTCTCTCAGGTATGACTTCTATATTGTGAGTCAGACTTCCAACAGTGGCACCGTCACCCCCACTCATTATAATGTCATCTATGACACGAAGGGCCTGACTCCGAACCAGGTTCAATGCTTGACCTACAGACTCTGCCACATGTACTACAATCTGCCGGTAAGCCCTGTGCATGTGTTTCAAAATTAGTTTTCATTTTGTTTTTAAAAACGGCAATTTTGAACAATCTATGAAAATGTCAACTTGGAGAAAGCCCCTGCAATGTTTGAGCTGATGAAAGGTTTAGCCGAAGTCTTTTGTTTCCTTCCTCCCGAAGGGTATCATCCGAGTCCCTGCTCCATGCCACTACGCACACAAGCTGGCTTACTTCGTGGGGAAGAGCATCCACCAGACGCCAGCATCATCGCTGTCAGGCTGTCTTTATTACCTTTAGCTGCACAGGAAGCAGTGACATCAAAACCCGCAGCTGACACATTTTTTTTTCTTACATTTTTTTCTTTTCCAAGCTGGGTGTTTTCCCCCTGCCCTGCCCCCAACAGTTTATTTCTTTAAGACCTGAATAGAAACAGCACCGTGAGCTAGGAATGGGAGATTCTCTAACTAGCACTTTGATGGGGATGGAAGGGCATATGCGGGGGAGGAGGGTCATAAAAAAATTCTGACTGATTTAAAAGCCAGCAGCTTGGGGCATGTAAGCATTTCCCCACTTTTCTTATATGGAAAGTCGAGAATGCTCTTAGCCTTTTTGTTGAGTTGGTCCCTGCTCCGGGGCCACCAGAGACCTGTTGTCTGTGTGAGGCCATGGTGCGACGGTAGTCTCCTTGAGTCCAAGCCTTCCCAGTTGAACTGGTTTAAGTGGCTTCAAATTTTTCTATGCATCAACTTTTGTTTTATTGCAGAGGTTTTTGTTTGTTTTTTGGGGGGTTTTTAAGGGTTAGGAGCAGGGATCAACTTTGAATACACCAGAAAAGGGTGGATTGGAACTGTTTGTGTTGAGGGATATAGGCTTTCAATGTGAAACCTGTCTTGTAAGAAATAAAGCTAATTGTTTGTGAAAATCTATTGCAAGAGAGGGGCTTCTGTCCCAAGTGGCACACGAGATTGCTCTGCATCTGGAATCAACACCACAGACAGCTGTGGATCACTGGTGCCGGAAGCCTTCCATGCACACGCACTTATGACATTGTATTCACATAAGAAAGGGGCTAAAACAGACTTGGGACAAACTTTCTTTTCTGAAGACTGATTTTGGTTCAATACCAAAGCTTAAGGTAGGACAGAGCTGTCAAGTTAATATCCGTCAGCAGCCCAAGTGTCTTCCGCAGGCAATGCCATCCTTGACAGCAAGCCCTTCTAATATTTGTCAAAATTACATCGTACCTAACCCAAACCAACCAGAAGACGGACAGCAGACAGGGCAGAGGAAAATGGGCTAAAACTGTGTGAGTTGGTGTGGGCCATTCTGAGTGTTAAAGTTCAAAAGGGTCGCAGGAGGTGATGATGGGAGAGGACTGACTTTGGATTTCTGTTTATCTTTGGTGTATGTGTGTGTACCACACATGTGGAGGTCAAAAGACAGCACTGAGTCCCTTCCTCCATTACCCAATGTCTCTTGCTGAAGGTGAAGCTCCTGTCTTTCCTTAGGCTTGTGGCCACCAAGCCTCAGTTACCCTCCTGTCCCCTCTAGCTCGGTTTGAGACTGTGCCCAGGTTGTCAAGTGGGTGCTGGCCATTGAGCCGCAGTCTTCCTGTCCCACGGTGCTCTTCTGGGCTGCCTCTCCATCCCCTAACACAGGACTGTCACCTCAGAAGCAGTGCTTTGGAGCAGTGGTGGGTAGATGTACTGACAAAGAAAAAAAGAGAGCCAGAGAAAGGGAAGCTGGAAGGGAAGAGCCAGAAGCAAGCATTCAGAAACAGACCACAGGCAGAAGACGTAGCTGCTCCCACTGAAACAGAGGGTGTCAAAAACTGGCTAGAACTGGCATTTTAAGAAGGAATTGTAAAGCTGGGCATGGTGGTCGCCTGCCTTTAATCCCAGCACTTGGGAAGCAGAGGTGGGGCTGAGTTTCAGGCTAGCCTGGTCTACAGAGTGAGTTCCAGTGAGCCCCTGTCTAAAAAGCCCAAAACCCCAAGTAGAAGGACTTCTAGAGCTGGTGTCAAATGTCACGTGAGACTCATGGTCTCAGTCGCTCTGATCCCATCAGAGTCCTCTGGACTGGCTAGAATTTTCCTTTGACCAGTGAACACCTGTGAAGATATGGCTCACATTTAACTCGGCTGCTCTTGCCTCACGTGTTGATTCACCCCTGCTCAATGCTGAAGTAAACAAGTTTTTCATTAAATACGGTGCAAATAAAAAAAATATAGTATTAACTATAGTTTCTTTTGAAGTACCTTCATTGGGTTGACAAAGTTCTTTTGAGTTCTTTAATAATTTTTCCTCTGGTGATTTTCATATATGCATATATATGTGTATATATATGCAATTTCTTCATATATATGAAAATTTATTTTATATATACATAATATATTCTGGTTACTTGGCCCCTCTTAATCATCTTCTGCCTTGTCATCCTCGCTTCCTTACAAATCTCTAGTTTTGTCTAGTGTACTCTAGAATTTGTCTAGGGCCATCTGTGTGGCCCTGGGTTTAACCATCAAAGCCTGACACACTCCCCAGTGGTTACAGGACCAGGTGCTGTGCCCCTCTTCTCTCCTAGAGTATATTACCTAAAGATGAGTTCTGCACAGTGGGGCCCTGAGCCCCTGCCCCGCCCACAGCAGCTGGGGGTAACAGATGAACACAGCTGCTGTTATCAGGGACATTCGGGCAGAGGACGGGACACTGAGGCTTTAGCTTCCAGGTGATAGTTTATTGTGCTGGCACCTAGGCTTCTAGAAGGTTCACTTCCAAAGGCTAGCGCCCCAAATGCTCTGGGGTTAAGGCTTCCGTACATTTCAGCTTCTTTGTTCCCCATGTATGTTTACATACAGTTTTAATTGGTTGCTTTAAACGTCCGGCATTAATTTTTAAATGGCTGAAACAGAAGGGGGTGTGGCCTGCAGGAGATATGGTGACACAGACACCCAAGGACATTAGGGGACCAACCTACACAGCTATTTCTGGCCCCCCAACCTCTCTCTGTTCTAAAGGCTCCCAGCATGCTGTGAGCTGCTGATTGGCACAGTCGTGTTGTGTTTAGAAGACATTTCACAGGGCCTCTCTCTGTCTTCCAGCACTTACATTCTTTCCAACCCAAAAAGGGAGCACCCCACAAGGGAGCACCCCGCGGTACCTGGATCCATTCCAGCAGGCTCGCCTGCTCTCATTTTCTCAACTGAGCTTTCCTTCCCTCAGATACTCTTAACTTGTGTCCAGTTGACATACAACTAGCCAGCGCACTTACTGGCCATTAACCCAATTTAAAAAAAACGATTTTGAAGGTAGATCACCCTTCAACACTAGACAATGGCAGCCCTGGAGGCAACGAGTCACTAACAGAAGCCTAATGCCAGGTAAGGTATCGGTCAAGGAAGCCCACTAGAGGTCCCCCAAAATTTTCAACTCTTGCCATTTCTCTAGGCACTCATCAGAATTCAAGCTATAAAGAAATCCAGCTGGAACTGACCCCACTGCTTCCTCCCTGCCGGCTTGCTCCTAAGAGCCAGGCACTGCTATGCAGGCCACCCGGTACAGGGGGCGCAGATGGGCCCACTATGAAATGGTGGCACCACCATTTTGGGGGTAGCCATGCTCCCTGGTCGGATCTGAGACCCACTCTACAAGAGGGCATCCATGCCTAATTTTCCAGTACTGGAGACCAAATCTAGGCTCTTTTCAAGGACCTTGCTATGCAAACAGTCTACCACTGAGCTACAACCCCAGCCCTTTCACAGTTTGGAGGCAGGGTCTCACTAAGTTACTCTGGTGGACCTTGGCTGAACTCTCTGTAGCCGGGGAAGGCCTCCGCTTCCTAAGCAGCTGGGATCCCAAGTCTCCATGTTCCCCCACGGGCTACTATGGAGAGGTGTTTTGGTTGTTTATCATGAGTACATGTTGAATTTCATCAAATGCTTTTTCTGCATCTATTGAGATGATTGTGATGATGCTACTTTCATAGTCTGTTGCTAGGATATCTATCAGTTTCCTACTATTGATATAATACCACAGGCTGCTTACCTTCGTATGATAAAACTGGTGCCTATGGCATCTGTAGACACAGGCCCCATACTGCATCACCGAGGCGTCAGAAAGGCGATGCTGCTTCCTGGAGACTCTAGAAACAGAATGTGCTGAATGTGCTCATCCTTGCGCTATAGTGTTGTGCGGCCGCCCGCGACAGCCTTTGCCTCAGCCCCTTTCCTCTCCAAAGCCAGGGGTGGCCTACAAACAGGCCAATCTCACATTCCATGGCTACCCCGCTACCTCTTCTCTGGCTCCCCACTTCACTCTTAACGGTTTTTCTGATATATATGGTGGTTTGCCTGCATGTATGTCTGTGCAGCGCAGGCATGCTTGATACCCATGGAGGCCAGAAAAGGGCATCAGATCCCCTAGAGCCAGACTTACAGATGGCTGTAAAGCCACCGAAGCCAGGTCCTCTGCAAAAGCAGCACATGCTCTTAAGAGCTGACCCACCTCTCCAGCCTCTACTCCACTTTCTGTGACTCTAGGTAACATTAACACTACTTAAGTAATCCAGAGCAGTTCATTATAAAGATAATTTCGCTATGACCCCTGATCTTCTTGCCCATGTAATATGACATTCTGGCAAGTTTCAAGGATTGGAACACGGCTACAGGTATCTTTAGGGTAGTGTTAGTCTGTGGACATAATTATTCTGGGTTTTTGAATGTACAACTACTACCATGGCCATCATGACTAGAGCTTTGATTTTGGAGACTTTGCTTCAGACGCACACGCACGCACGCGCAAGCGCACACACACACGCACGTCAGGGGAGCTGTGAGGGCAGGAAGAAGGCTGAGTCCTGCTGACATTGGTGGCTGAGGAGACCAGCAGGGCATTGGGGCTCTGCACTAGTTTGGCTTCTGGCCCCACTGTTCTATGCTGGGATCCCAGTGGGCCAAGGATTGGATTATGAGGTTGAGGACCATGGGAGACAGGAAGCTACATCTCTACCAACCTGGTACAGAAGGTGTCACTTCCAAGCAGCTGAATTTGAAGGAGATGACTGTGGTAACCAATGCTGCTCAGAATCGGGAGGCTGCGGAACCCTTACAGAAGGACTTGGGACCCCTCGGCTGGCCAGTGACCTGGATGGAGCTCCACACTGAGAGACCTCGTCGCACAGGTCAGGTGCAGGAACCAGCCTGGACTACTGTAAAGGCAGTGGTAGAGGTTCTGAGCCATCGCCCACTGGCACCTGAGGGCACTGGACCAGGCGTTGTACCTGCCCCCCTGCCCAGTCAC